CTCCATTCCATCATCATAACCGTCCTCTGCACCCCATTCCACCATCATACCCGTCCTCTCCATTCCATCAACATACCCGTCCTCTCCATTCCATCATCATACCCATCCTCTGCACCCCATTCCACCATCATACCCGTCCTCTCCATCCCTGCACCCCATTCCACCATCATACTCGTCCTCTCCATCCCTGCACCCCATTCCACCATCATACCCGTCCTCTGCACCTCATTCCACCATCATACCCGTCCTCTGCATCCCTGCACTCCATTCCACCATCATACCCGTCCTCTGCATCCCTGCACTCCATTCCACCATCATACCCGTCCTCTGCGCCCCATTCCACCATCATACCTGTCCTCTCTATTCCTGCATCAAACCCGTCCTCTCTATTCCTGCATCAAACCCGTCCTCTCTATTCCTGCATTCCTGCATCAAACCCGTCCTCTCTATTCCTGCATCAAACCCATCCTCAAACCCGTCCTCTCTATTCCTGCATCATACCGGTCCTCTCTAACTGCATCAAACCCATCCTCTCAAATAACACCAGCTATAGAGGAATACATCAGATCCCAGCAATAGTACATTATAGTATAATTACTGTTGCTGTGATTTGCTGTATTCCCTAATAGCTGCTGGTATTCTGCATTGCGCCGCTGTATAATGTACTATATTGCACACCACACTTTTTTTTTTTTTTTTACTTCCACCGCTCCAAGCTTGCTCCTGTGATGGACTACAATCTCAGTACAAACTAGTAGTCCATCACTGGAGCCTTTTTTTATTAACCTATTAATCGAACGTAATAATCGGCTAATCGATTTTGAAATTAATCGTTCGCTGCAGCCCTAATTTCAACTTCATATATTAAGTTGTAACAGTGCTAAAATAAAAGTGCATTGAAGGATCCGGAGGGACGACCGGTGGGCGGACTCAATGGGACAGCTGGGTAAAAAAGCCTGGGGGGGCTCAGGCCTAAAGTTGTGTAAGGGGCCCCAAAATTTCTGAAGGCTGCCCTGGCAGTAGATATATGCAAAAAGCAATGAGTGCTTAATAACCCTTTAATGGCATGTTTCTATCTGTTCTAGAAATGCAGTACAATGCAATTACCTGTTGACCTGCTAGAAAACCGAGAGCTATATACCTCTGCTGCATTCTAACCAGTTTACATTGTTCTCTCTGTGGGTTACAGAACACCTTCCCCCTGTTATGGAGATGATGCTTTCTGCCCTAGGGTCTGTCCACAAGGTGAAAATAAAGGCAATAACACCTGAAAAAAGAAAACTACTGCAGCACCCATATCTGTGAAGTGACCAGCTAAAATATATTACATTCTTATTCTTTGAATTAGACATATTTTAATGTTCATATTGCCTTTTCAGCTTACTAACTGTAATTTAAAGTCACCAGACAGATTGTTGCAATGAGGAACTTGGACCCCCAAAGTACAGTGCAAAACAGATGTTTTTAAGCGGTGTACATACACCATACAATAACTGCAGCAGAAACACCTGACATGAACTACTTCCCTATGTGTTCAATGCTGTGGCAGCTTTTCTTGTGCTTGAACATTGGATGATCACTCCTCTTTCCTTCTCTTCTCTTCTTTTTCTGCTTTTTTTTTTTCTATCACTTTTCTCATCTTTCCTTGTTCTCTATTTCTCCCTTTCCTTTGCCTTGTTCCTTACTGTTTTGTCTAGGTGTGTTTTATGATTTATGTCTGACAGCCCAGCGGGCTATCCCCCCATGTGCCCATGCTCTTTTCTACTAAGGCGATGTCCCTATTTTATACATGATTATCAATGGCCTAGTGGTAATCCCTTCCTCATTTATGTGGAGGGCCTCTTCCAAGTTAGCCAACTCTTTCAGCGCTCCTTTTCCCAGGAAGGGTGTTGCTCTCAGGTACTAATGTTTGGGTTTTTTTTTTTTCTTCTGTGTTATATTGTGTTTTTGA